TATCATTTTAAATGGACTTCGATATTTAATCTATTAATCTTAATCATTAATATTTGATTGTTTAAATTTAAGAAAAAATATTTAAATTATAACCTACATAATGTACTTTTAAGAAATACTACTGTCTTTACAATCTAAATAACTATGATAAAGAAGTTAAACATTGCATATGTAATTTTTGAGAGAAATCTTCATTAAATAGTTGCAAACTTCAAATATTATATAATTTAAATTGTCCGAAATATTTTAGATCCTACAATGAATTATATTATAATTTAAATAATGATGAATAATGGGATATAAAATAAATTTACATAAAATGAATTTCAAGTTGAATAATTTCCTTCACAAATTGTATTGAACGTTTTTAATGAAATTACTTTTAATGTAAATTAAAATATATAATTTTTAATACAGTAAAACAATTTAATCACAACATTTAAAGCACATAACTTAGAGGTAGTCATGACTTATAATATAAATTCGTTTTTTTAACTTAATATAATATAGACATTTTCGAAATTCAAAAATTATATGCCTTATCATAATGTTATTTAATCTCAATGCTGTCTTCTATTTTTAAATCATGAATTGGAAAATTTAGAACAAGTAATTAATTTAAGGATATATGTTTCAAGTTTTTTTCTAAATAATTTAATGTATATTATAAAAATACATTTTTAATTAAAAAAATGAATGCAATAAATCGTAATAATTATTAAATTTTATATTAAAATGGATATGTTTAAATGCAAATATCTAAATCATGAAAAAGAGGAAATTATAGGATTTTGCTTAAATCAGGAATGTCAGAAATCATCTTAATATTGTTATTAATGCTTGACTTAGACTCATTCAGATCATTAAAATGATTGTATTAGATTTGCCACAATGAGCGAGCTTATCATTTAATTCATATAAGGTTAATAACAAACACATACTTAAATCAAGGAAATCATCAATCAAATTACGAATTGCTTTGAATAGATTAAAAAATAGATGGATCAAGAAATTAAAATATTAGAGAATATGAATTAGAAACTTTTAGGCAAAGAGTATTTAACGTTTAAGTCAGATATAAAAGTAATCAAATAATTTTACTCAAAGGAAAAAGAAAAAGAGATGTGTATATATTTTATACTCATTTATTTTATAGAAAAACATTTAATAGAATTCAATAAAATGTTTACGACAATAAAAAATATGGGATTAAGTTACCCAAAAGTCCCTTAAATAACGATAAATGATGTAGTAAAAAAAATTAAAATTCTACAGAGTAGCTAATAGGAAATGCAAAAGAACTAAACAACGCATGATGTATTGAATAACGGTAAAATTAATTATAGAATAAAATAGGACAAGACCTGTTTCAAAATTTAGAATTGCTGTCTTCAGATGATATTAAAAAATAAAATGATGCTAGAAATAAATTTAATAATTCAATAAAATTGAATTAAGATGATTACAAGAGTCGATAGTAACGTACTAATTGAGTATGTATGGTTAGGTCTATCATTAGAGGGTTTTAATAATTTTGAAGAAATTATTAAGTGTTGTGACAAAGCTATTATTATAAATTTTAATAATGATAATGCATGGAACAATAAAGGTAAAAAAAATAACATATTATTATTTAGGTTTCGCAATACATAATTTAAATCAATATTAAGCAGCAATTGAGTTATTCGACAAAGCTATATAAATAAATCCTAATGATGAATGCACATGGTACAATAAGGGTAACATAATTGAAAAATCTACTTAGGCTCGGCATTACATAGTTTAAATAAATATTAAAATGCTATTGAATGTTACGACAAAGCTATTTCTCTCAACAATAGTGAGGAAAGTACATGGTATAATAAAGGTAATTTTAATATTTGTAATTAGGTTCTGCATTATATAGTTTAAAAAAATTTTAAGAAGCTATTGAATGTTACAACAGAACTATTTTAATAAATCCAAATAAAGATAATGCATGGTACTATATGGGTAATATAATTTAAATATTTGTATTTTAGGTTTGGCACTACAAAATTTAAATAAATATGCAGAAGCTATTGAATGTTACAACAAAGCTATTTCTATAAATTCTAATAATGATAATGCATGGTACAATAAAGGTAATATAATTTATAATGTTGCTATTTTTAGGTTTTGCATTAAAAAAATTAAATAAATTTTCAGAATCCATTAATTGTTACAACGAAACTATTTCAATAAATCCTAATAATGACAATGCATGGTACTTTAAGGGTAATACAATATAAATATTTTTATTTAGGTTCTTCATTAAAGAATTTGAAAAAATATACAGAAGCCATCGAGTGTTATGAATAAGTTATTTCTATAAATTCTAATAATTGCGATGCATGGAACAATAAAGGTATTACAATTTAAAATCTTTTTAAATAGGCTCCGTATTACATAATTTAAACAAATATTAAGAAGCTATTTAATGTTATGATTAAGTTATTTCTATAAATTCTAATAATGATGATGCATGGAACAATAAGGGTATTACAATTAAAATAATTATTTAGGTTCTGCATTACATAGTTTAAATCATTTCTAAGATGCTCTTGTTTGTTACGAAAAAGCCATTTCTATAAATTCCAATAAAGATATTGTCTGGGATAATAAGGGTATTAAATTTTAAATGCTTCTATTTAGGTTCTACATTAAGCAAATTAACCCAATATTAAGAAGCTATTGAATGTTATGAAAAAGCTATTTCTATTAATCCTAATAATGATAATGCATGGAACAATAAGGGTATTATGAATTAAAATATTTTTATTTAGGTTCTGCATTAAAAAATTTAAATTAATATTATGAAGCTATTGAGTGTTACAACAAATCTATTTCCATAAATCCTGGAGATGAAAGTACATGGAATAATAAGGGTTATTACAATTTATAATATTTATAATTAGGGTCTGCATTAAAGAATTTGAAAAAATACACAGAAGCTATTGAATGTTTTGAAAATGCTATTTCTATAAATCCTAATAATGCTGATATATGGAACAATAAGGGTATTGAATTTAAAAATATTTGTATTTAGGTTCCACATTAACAAAATTAAATAAATATTAAGATGCTATTTAGTGTTATAATAAAGTTATTTCTATAAATCCTAAATATGGCGATGCTTGGAACAATAAAGGTATTAAAATTTAAATTAATAACTTAGGTTTAGCATTATATAATTTAAACAAATATTAAGAAGCTATTGAGTGTTACAACGAATCTATTTCCATAAATCCTGTAGATGAAATTGCCTGGTATAATAAGGGTAATAAAATTTAAATGTTCTATTTAGGTTCTACATTAAGCAAATTAACCCAATATTAAGAAGCTATCGAATGCTATGATAAAGTTATTTCTATTAATCATAACAATGATAATGCATGGAACAATAAGGGTATTATAATTTTAAATTTTACTATTTAGGTTTAGCATTAGATAGTTTAAATAACTATTAGGGAGCAATTGGATGTTACAACATAGGTATTTATTTAAATCCTAATAATGATGAACTATGGTACAACAAGGGTAATGCAATTAGAATATTTATATTTAGGGTCCTCTTTAAAGAATTAAAAATAATATTAAGATGCTATTGAGTGTTATGACAAAGCAATTTCAATAAATCCTAATCATGGTGATGCATATAATCATAAGGGTAAAAAAATTAAGAATATTTTATTTTAGGATCCATATTACACAATTAAAAGAAATATTAAGAAGCGATTTAAAATTACGACAAAGCTATCTCTATAAATCCTAAAAATGGTGATGCCTTTTAAAATAAGGGTAAATTACTTTGTAAATTAGGTTTTGCTCTACATAAGTTAAAACAATATTAGAAAGCATTAGTAGAATATAATTTAGCTCTTTCAATTTCAATTAGCCCTAATGGATTAAAACTAAAAGGTATTATTCAATATTAGTTTAAGCTGATTCACTATTTGAATTGGGAATGAATTCTTAAGCTAAAGAGTCCTATTTAGCTGCTTTAAAACAAGGATCAAAAAAAACAGAATATATTAAGAATTAACTAGAAAAGTTATGAATAGCCATAGATATTATAGATTTTCATATCAATTATTCAAGATTTTTAATTTTCTTACATTATCAGCCTCAAATTATTAATAGCTTAGCCAAC